TTAAATAATAAAAGATTTTTTCAATAATTATTTTAGACATCTTCAAGCAGAAGTGTAACTAAGATCTAATACATATTGGTGGCAAAGGGGCACCTGCTTCCAGAGCACCATGACTACAGAGAATCCCTTTACAACAGATCTGAAAGGTTGTATTGAACAGAACAACTTGTTACCAACAAGCCTTTAGCAAACATTCTCATTCCTTTGTAGTATATTGACATGGCTTGCAATGTATAGCTGCAGTTTACCATTTATTTTCATTACTTCACACTGTTTTTTATTTTCCTTGCCAGTGGTTGAATAATCTTTGCAAATTGAATTTTCGCTAGATTCACTAAGCTAAGGGAAATCTCCACAGCAAACCTAAAATTCCCTTGCAAAGTAAACAGCCTATCTCCCTTCAGAAAATCAATTCCATAGAGAACATTTGTAAGTTGAACCTGCAAATGAAAGTCACAGTCTGAAGCCGGAAAGTCATAGGGATCTGGAACACAAGTTAAACTGCACCCCTCGTATCTGATACAAAAAAACTTTGGTTGTAGAGATAAATTCATTGTTAATGTAATTGGGGTTGTATGTAGTAGTGATGGGGTTAGACACCTAAATAAATTGACCCAAGAGCAGTTGAACAGCTACAGCTTCACCCAAGTTTGCAAATATTTGCTATTACCTAGCAGTCAACTACTACAAGGTTTGAGTTGCAGTTGTTGAGGCATATATGATCGTCCCTAGTTTATTAGGTTTAACAAAATCATCATAGAGAATAATAACGATGTGCAAAGTATAATCATTTTTTTTTAAATGTATCCCTTTCTCCTGCGTACACAGAAGTAAACCTATTAGTTTTCTTGGGTGTTTTATCCCTTTTTGGTGAAATTTTGCAAAATAAAATCCCAGAACTCATCCTCTTATTAAATGTCCCCATATATTCAGTACTAGCAGATCCAGTACTATATGGCGATTCCAGAAATATTTAAATTCCTGAATTTACCCCACTATTATTATTATTACATAATATTTATATAGCGCCAACAGTTTGTGCAGCGCTTTACAATGTAAGGAAGACATTACAATTACAATACAATTCAAGACAGGATGGTAAGGAGGGCCACTACACTTCACATTCAGAATGTGAAACCACACGAGTGGTGTGCTGCAATGCAGGTGTGTTGGGGTGCCATTGAAAATCAATGGCACTGTAACAAACCATACCTCCTAACATGCAGGGGAACACTAACATTACTGCAGAGCAGTGTTGTGAGAGGGCCCTGAAGGTAACCTCCACTCAGCATTACTCAGCAAACTCAGTTTGAATTGCACAGGTTTGTGACAGGTTTCCTTAACCGCTTCCTGGCCGGCCATTGTAGACAAAGTGGCTGGACGGGGGCTTCCTGGATGTGAGTGGCCCACCCATGAGCGGGAAACTGCCCAAATTTAAAAACAGGCAGCAATGCCTGTTTACATACATCCGCTCTATAGCCAGCGGATCACTTGTGTAACGTGCCGGTCTGTGCCCCCACTCTGCGCCCCCCCCCCTCCCCCGCTGGTCCCAAACTCCGCCGTGCCCGGTGCGAGCCCAGGACCAGCATGATGGCTCTGTGACAGGGGATCAGAGGGAGATCGCTACACGATCTCCCTCCGATCCCCTCTCCGGTGTCAGAATGTGGAAGTGATGTATATTACATCACTTCCGCACTCTGCTGTCACTCTCCAGCCTCAGAAGCTGGAGAGAAGCTGTTGAAGCAGATCTCTGCTTCATCAGCTTCTCTGGGGTCCCTAGGCGACATTAGGGGTCATGATGTCTTCATAAAGAGGACCTGTCACATCCTCTTTGCTATCACATAGGGGGACTTCTTAGCCCTATATGTGATAACAATAAAGTTAAGTGAAAAAAATATGAATAAAGTTGCAAAAAAAATTAAAGTCACACATGAAAAAGAATTTTAAAAAACCAAAATTTTTTTTAAAGTCTCCACGCATACATACACGCATGCAAACATGCGTCAGGTGCACATACGTGCGAAAACAACTATTGCACCCATTACACCATTATGGTACATATCATCGCGAATGTCGCAGTGAGAGCAATCAGTCTAGGGCCATTAATCACTGATAACACTAAACTCATGAGCGGTAAAAGCTTTTAAAACGTGGTCTATGGTCAATTTTGGGTATGGTATTGTTTTGTGATTTCGCAGGTGCACACAATTTTAAAGCGTGTCATGTTTGGTGTCTATTTACCCAACATGACCCCCGTCTTTTATATCTTACCAAAGAATTTGGTAACAATAATTGTTTCCAAACATAATGTAAAAAACAACATTTTCAGTAATTTTTCCTTAATATAGTAAAACATAAAAATCCCAGTTCTGATTAAATACCACCAAAAGAAAGCTCTACCTGTCGCCAAAAATGGTATAAAATGAATTTCAGTACAGCGTTGCATGACGGAAAAAAATGTCAGTCAAAGTACTGCAACGCTAAATACTGAAAAATGGCCTGGAAGGAAGGGGGTGTAAACACTGCGGTCTTCGAGTGGTTGAAGAATCTCTAATATATTTTTTATGAATGACTTAACGCTGTACATAACAACATATCAATATGATATCACATACTTTAGCCTTCACTGTAGTTTGTAAGAAGTTAATTTATGTAGACCAATATCAATGTTACAGTAAATGTTATTCACTTTAAGAAGTGAAATGACCACTTAACCACTAATAACTGATAATTAAAACTGACTTCCAGCTTTTACAGTATTGTGTTTTACATGCTGTTCAGGTTAACTTTGATAAACTGTCAGCAGCCACCAAAAGGCACAAGTATATACCAGTGCTTGTACTAGGACTTGTAGCAAAGACTAGATAGCATAGTGCATGCCCAAGATTAGGTGACTGAATTCTGACACACTGTTGATATGTACCAGCACTTTTTTGGTACCTATTATCACCTAATAATGTGAGTATGGAGAAGATTTTTAGTACAGGATCCCTTTATTTATGTTAGGATATAGGATGGTATACACTCTAGTCCCAAATTTAATGCAGTTTTAAGCCTAACTCTGACCTTTGAGTTTGAGTCTGGGTTTCTATGCCCTATGCAACTTGCTTTTCTGGAATGAGATGTTCTGAAGTTATAAAAGTCACTCACAGCCAGCCTTTCGCTAGTCTCAAAATAAAAAAAATTTAGGGCTAGGAGAAGGCAGGTTCCAACTTTTCTGCTGCATAGCATGTCTGGCTCAACCAACCTGACAGTTTTCCTCTGGCAGAACAAGACATGAAAAGCATAAACTCTGCAGGCACTGGCACTTTATTAAATAAATATATCAAACAATTCAACAGGGAACGTGAAAATCTATTGATAAAGTAGAAAACGTGATAATAGCATTGCTTTATTTATTTGAATACATGTATTCAACTATGATGGATATTTTTCTTGTCTCTTACACCAAAATAAAGCCAAACTAAGTTTAAAACAGGCAGGTCCATATACTTTTAGGATGAGGTACTGAGCATATGTACTTGACATATGCTGTAAATCATTGTAGCTTACACCTTTAATATTTAGCATGTTTCATATCTCACTTTATGTATGTGACATCAACTACCGCAGTTGGCTGATATTCAGTGTATATAGCTGGTCATGTGAAAACATGAACATTTGGGCTTTATGCCTGTTTGTTCTTTTGTTATTAATAGCATATAAGCATGGCTGTGAATTTCAGTATAAGTCTTTTCTTTCCTTGAAACAGATGATGTTCACATGGTGCTATACAAATAATAGAACCAACTTCAGTCATCTGATTGCATTACATTCTAATGTCAGTTCTAGAACTTGATAAATAAATATTATATTATTGTAGCATAAAAACAGGATATACATTTAAGATCACTAAATAAAACCATTGAAATGCTTTCCTACAACTGGGTAGCTGTTAGCCTGGAGCCTAGTACCTGCAGGTAAAGGTAACATATAACAGCCATATAACACATGTACCTTGAAAAATGCATAGCATGATTTTTGGCTTCTGTCCGTGCTCTAGTTGTCCTGCAATCAGCACTGGACATTGTGCCAGACATTTACCAACAACACCATGCACCATGGTGTCACTGAGACCCACCATGCTATCTACATCGCGTTATTTTAAAGCCTGACTGGGAAATGCTTCCTCTGTGCCCTGATGCTGTAAAAGGCATAGATAGCATTAGGTGGGGTGAGTCACACAATGAGTTGCATGGTGTCACTGGTAAATGTCCAGCAGTTGCCAATGATGATTGCTAAACAACTGGAGTGCGGACAGAAGTCCAAATGCTGCTACGCGTTTATCCAGGTACATGTGTTATATGGATGTTAAATATCCACAGAGTAATTCTAGGGTAACTTCCACTTTAAGGCACACCTGTGCCTAGACTATAGATATTAAACAATTTACATATTTTTAAAGGAGAACTATGAGGTGAGTGCTTTTCACTCACCTCATAGTTCTAGCCGACCTGTGAACTCGTTACCCTAAGGAGAACTATAGGGAAAAGACTTAACCCCATATTCTCCTTTAACAAGCATTCTCCTCAAGGATCCCAACAACAGTTGAGTTGGGTTTTATTAAGTAACAACTTAGAAACCTCTGCTGGGTGTTTACATTAGATGGCTGGTAGGCAGCCAAGATTTGCTCTCATAGA